TTTTTTTTTTTTTTTTTTTTTTTTTTTTTTTTTTTGTTTTTTTTCCGTGTCCGGCAACGGATCGCAACCCTCAGTGTTGCCCCCGTACCGGACTGGGGACCGGCAACGGGATTGCAAACCTCGGTGTTGCTCCCGCGCCTCGCTCAGCCAGTGAGCGGGAACCGGTCTGTATGTGGGATCCGAACCCTCGGGCGGGAGCGCCACCGCGCTTCCCAAGCGGCGCACTATCCAGTGCGCCACCGGGCCGGCCCAGTCATTTCTAACTTTTGCCAAAGCGGTTTTATTGGATTGATGAAGGCAGAAAGCCAAGTCTCAGTAGCTCGAGAGGTGAGAAGTAGAGAGGGGAGCTGAGGGCAGCTTGTGGCCTCTTCAGAAGGTGGGCTGCTTGGTCTTTTTTGGAAACAGATGTGAAGGTCAAGTAGACTATAGCGTGCAACTGAGTTCAGTATAAAGCTTGAGCTTCTGTTTTTCTGATTTATAAGAATTTTGTGGAAATAAACATTTATTTAATTTCAGTTATTCTAAAGATGCTTGTTTCCTCTTAATCCAATGCAGTCTAACTTCTTTCCATCAGTTAATTTACAGGTTAGCCAAGCACTATAAGTAGGAGGCATGGAGGGGTACAGAAACAGACTGTGCAATGGTAGGTCACACGGAGCTACACATACATAAAAGCATACATACATGCTTTAAATGAACTTTGCTATTTAAAAACATTTTGTTTCTTGCTTTACCCATAGAATAAGAAATTATGAAAGGAAGGGAAGTTGTCAAGCAGTTGGATAGAAAAGGATATCAACCAAAAATAGAAGGAATGGAAAATATAGAAGCAGAGTGAAAATGAAAAGAAATAAGTGAGCAGTTTTGCTACTCCGATCTAATTTGCATAATCCTGTAGTTATTTTTCTTTGCAGTTTGTCCTTTTTCCTTGCCTGCCCGATGTTTTCTGGGTTTGAGAGCACATGGTTTGAGTTTCTGTTTCACCACTCCTAGCTTTTTGCTGGGCAGATTTTTAACCCCCTTTGACCCCTTTTAACCCTTCATTTCTGATAAAATGGGAAAAACATCCACTGAAGCTTACTTAGAATTAAATCAGATAACCGCGGTAAAGTGCCTAATATAATGGCTAACACAAAACGAGTGTTAAATAAGTGATAGTTCTTTATTATCACTTCCCCAAACTTCACAACCTATTTGCAAGTTTTGGTTTTTCTTTAAAGGAATAAAGAACCACTAACATTTAAATTCTTTTTTTTTTTTTAAAGATTACCAGTAAGGGGATCTTAACCCTTGACTTGGTGTTGTCAGCACCACATTCACCCAATGAGCTAACTGGCCATCCCTATATGGGATCCGAACCCATGGCCTTGGTGTCATCAGCACTGCACTCTCACGAGTGAGCCATAGGCTGGCCCTAACATTTAAATTCTGATTCGCTGGTCCTGAAGTAGAGATTTCTAGTTCTGTGGCTACAGAGAGGTGAAACAGAAATGTCTTCAAGAAGGCCTCTAATTAGTCCGTTTTTGTGTTGCTATAACAAAATACACAGAACTGGGTAATTTATAAAGAAAACGGAATTTATTGCTTACAGTTTCAGAGGTTAGGAAGTCCAAAGTCCAGGGAACACAGCTGGTGAAGGCCTTGATGGTGGCGACAGTGACCTAGGGGTCTCACATTGCAAGATATTGGAAGCAGAGAAGGCAAGAGAGAGACAGACTCTTCATGCTCCCCTTCCAAAGCCCTCCAAACCACACCCATGACCACCATTTTTAATCCATTCCCTATTGTGTGGTCCTATAATCTAATCACATCTTCAAGGCTCACGTTTCAATTACCATAATAGGATTTTCCACCCTTAACAGTCACAGTGGGGCCAAGTTTCTAATACATAAAACTTGGGGGACACAATTCAAGCTTCAGTGATTTTGGAGGGACATAATTCAATCCATTATAAGGCCCCTGATGCCTTAGATGAGGCAGGGCAAGGGAGACATGGCTTCAGTGTTGACATCATAATCAGGTTTTGGTTTCCTGCTTTTCAGGACCAGAATCCTCATATTTCCAGAGTCCTTAAAGGCACTTAGGTTCAAGTGGACAGATACTCACTTCCAAACTCAAGAAACACTGATGTGTAAGCTGATCTGTGAACTGCAGTAATTTACAGTGAGATATACACTGCTACAGTGCACCGCTTGGGAGCGCGGCGGCGCTCCTGCCGAGGGTTCAGATCCCACATACAGACCGGTTCCCGCTCACTGGCTGAGCGAGGTGCGGGTGCAACACTGAGGGTTGCGATCCCGTTGCCGGTCCCGGTCCGGTATGGGTGCGACACTGAGGGTTACGATCCGTTGCTGGACACGAAAAAAGACAAAAAAAAAAAAAATAGAAATAAAAAGTAGAAATTTTAGTTAGAGTGCCACCTTATAACACCAAGATCAAAGGTTCTGATCCTGTACTAGCCTGCTGCCAACAACAAAAAAAGAAGTTTTAAGTAGTTTCCATTACAGTCTTGAATAACATGGATCCTCAGAATGCCTTCATGAAACTCTTGAGGGCTGTCCAGCCACAGATTAAAACCCTTCTATAGTAGTGCATACTCATATTGTTTACAAGCTTTCTTAATTTATTTGTTAGTGTATTGGAAACATACTTTATATAAAATTGTGTGTTTTTTGACTTCTGTTAGTAATCTGATGTCAGATTTGACTCAAACTGTTTCTTTGCAAAGTAAGTCTGTAGAGGAGGGGAAGGGCTACCATTCTTACTATATACCACAATAAAATACTAGGTGGTGCTTATTGAGGTCCTTGGATCTATTTTACTTTTTACTTAAAAAAAATTTTTTTAATTAAACCTTAAAGTGAGTACTCCTGACATGTATGTGTATTTTTTAAATCTTGGCATATTTGGGGGCCGGCCTGGTGGTGCACTGATATAGTGCACCGCTTGGGAGCGTGGTGGCGCTCCCGCCGAGGGTTCGGATCTCACATACAGACCGGTTCCCACTCACTGGCTGAGCGAGGCGCGGGAGCAACACCGAGGGTTGCGATCCCGTTGCCGGTCCCGGTCCGGTACGGGGGCAACACTGAGGGTTGTGATCCGTTGCCGGACATGGAAAAAGACAAAAAGGAAAAAAAAAAAATCTTGGCATATTTGTACTTAGGAAGTGTGAAAATAAATAAATGTTTGCTTGAAATTAAATGTGTGAATGAGTTTCCGGCTATCCTCCTGAGGATAGTCCATAGCCTGCGGTGGTGAAGAGACGAGTAGCCGCTGCCTGTGTGCTTCTAGTAGCAGACATCCCAGCCGGCTCTTCCCTCAGGCCTGAGCAGACAGAAGTTAGACCAGGAAGCAGTGTAGCATTTCAGATTTGAATCCCAGTTCTGTCACTTTCCTATACATACATTACAGATATGGAAGAAATTTGATAGTGGTTAAATTATCTACATGCTTTGCCATTAAACAATTTGTCACCTACCATTATCACCACAGTCATGTCATGACAGTGTCATCTTTTTTAATCAACTGCTACTGTCTAATCTGAGAATAGGTGAGGCACATAGTAATCAAGACATTAAATTTTTAAGCAGTTACAAAACCCAACGAATATGCAGTGAAAAATCTCCTGTCTACCCTGTCCTCTAACCACCCACTTTGACTCTGGAGTGTGTATTTTGCCTTGTACTGGAGGCTGTAGTGGGCACTGAGGTGAGGGGCTCATGCCCACTGCACATGTGCTGGCGTCAGGGGTGACTCTCAGAATTAAGTCAGGGGCTTTTCAACATAGAGGGCCACTTCCTGCTCTATTCTGTCACCTAAAATCCTGATTCACCTCTCTAGGCAGGTGTGTCTCTCCCTCTTCATTAAAATACCAAAAAAACATAACTTTCCAAAGATTATATTAATAAACGGTATAGAACGCTTACTGTAACTAAGTATACTTGACAGTGTTAGGTGACCCACAATGGAATTCAGAGACATTGTGCCTTTTAAAAGACCTGAGTCCTCTTTTAGACAGTAAGCCAATAAACATTTATTATTTAATGAGTAATTTCCAATGTATTCTTTTCCACTGTATGAAATTTGTTTCCTGATAATCATTTTAAATTTCTATTTTAGTTATTTTTTATTATAAAAGTCGATGCTTATTATAGACAAATTAGAAAGTACAAACTAGGATAAAGAAAGTTGAAAATATTCATAATCTAGCCTCCTGGAGGTAAATTATTAGTATTTTTATTTATACCCAGACAGTCTCTGTTTTTTCCTAATAAAAAATGGAATCATCTCATATAACTATCTTAATATCTTGATTTTCAAAGCTGTATCATTCAGATCTTTCCATGTGAGTTAGTTGGGTAGGTTTCTGAGCTGATTGATGCCTGAGCTGTTCTGCTAGGCTCCCTGGGAGCAGGGATAGGGTTTCATGTTTCCTTGTGTCAACACTTGCTTTATCAGGTATCTCAGAGAACGTGTATTGAGTGAGACCCCACAATACAAGGTGAGGTGATTGGGCAAGAACCAAGACTAGCCTCACAATGGATTCTGAGCTGACTGCCCAGCTATGTGGATAACTTTTTTTCTTTTCCACTCTTTGTAGGACCTGCTAAATGAAGCAAAGCAGAGACTCAGCAAGGTGGTAAAAGATACAACCAGGTACCAAGTGCTGCTGGATGGACTGGTTCTGCAGGTACCCATATAGAGCAGGCCTACCATTTATAGCCACATTTATGAGAAAATTTACAAGATCTACTAGAGACCAGCTCCGTTTTTCCCGTTTTCTCATCTTAGCTTTTTTCCTATTACTCTTTACCTTGTCTAAAATGTGTGCTGCATGGGAGGAGAGTGATGTCTGTCTGGTTGGGTAAGACTTCCAGGCTCACTGCTCTTTTATATAGTCTTATTAGTTCTTCATAACTCAATGGTCAAATTTGCTTGCAACCTTCAGCTTTAAACTTCCTTAATTTGATTTTACCACTAAAATAGTTGCTTTAGATATGGGGACTCAGGGGCCTGGCTGGTTAGCTCAGTTGGTTAGAGCATGGTGTTGATAACATCAAGGTCCAGGGTTCCATCCATGTACCAGCCAGCTGCCGAAACAAAAAAAAAGATATTGGGGTTCAGACCAAAACACTGTATACATTATAATTGTTTACTGCTGAGCTGCAAATTCTTATTTTATTTTACTGTGTTAATTAAAATATTTGTCCTCAACCCGGTTGATGTAAGATAAGACTCCTATATGAATTTTGTTTCTACCACCAGAGCATCAGGTATATTTGTCTGGTTTGTGATAGCAAGATCTTCTTGCCATGTTGTCATATTGTGTATGCTGTCTTTTGGGGGAACTTACCAGGGGACATTTTTCCAAACTGTATGAAAGAACTGTAAAAAATTTTTTTTTCTTTGCTATTTTGCTTTGTTTTATAGTTTCAATTTTCTACTAATTGTATCTGATTGTTTCTTATAGGGTCTGTACCAGTTGTTGGAGCCCCGAATGATTGTTCGTTGCAGGAAACAAGATTTCCCTCTGGTAAAGGTAAAGAACACTCTTAAAATGTTAGGATGAAATGCGTGCTCTGTAGATAGCTCAACCATGGGAATTAGAAGAGTCTCAACGTATTTCTTAGGTTTTTAAAAATTTTAATTTAATTTTATTAATATATATTTTTTTACATTCTGTGATGTCGCAGAGCAGTTGAAAGAGAGAGGGAGAAGAGAAAGGGGAAGGAAATATGATGGAAGAAGGAGGAAGGAGGAGGGGCAGGATTGAGGCCTGTGGCATCCCCCTCATTCCCACAGCTTCCAGCAGTGGCTTGGTCATTGCCAGGCTGGATGCAGATGTCAGGGGGGTGTGGCAAAAGCCCTTGTCTCCCACCACCCTAGCTCAGGAACCTGGGGCCCTTCTTGCTGTGGCTCAGTGGTTATCACTGGGCTGGTTGCTCATGTTGAGGGGGGCATGACCAAGGCCCTTGGGCCCCCCACCGCCTTGGCTCAGGAGAGCCTGGGGTGCTTCCTGTGGTGGTTCAGTGGTCATCACTGGGCTGGCGGGGGTGAGGGTGGGTGCTGAGGCCCTTGGCCTCCACCCTTGGGACTGGTTGAGGCCCCCAGCCCTCTCCCCTTTCTGGCTTGGTAGCCCAGGGGACTTACCATCCTTTTAGGTGTTCTTTGGTGAAATGAGACCTTTACTAGTTAATACCAAACTTTGTCTCTGGTTGCGGATACTTTGTTTTTTCTTTCAGTTCTGTGTTGGATTATTTGCTGTTCCCACCACTCAAACTCTGCGCTGAAACTAATTTGTTATCCTTTGCTTACTTCTAAAATGGGATCACTTCCTGTGGAGACCAGTACTTGAGCTGTGTGGTTGAGCTAAATTGCTGCTTTGCTGTTGATTCCCTAGGGAAGGCTTTTTGTGCAACTCAAGTGTTAATGGTTGACTTTATAGATACTTCTGGTTCTAGTGAAATCTGGTGCTCCTAGGTTGTGTAGACACACTGGTCTGGGCCTGAGTCTTTTCATCAAACTGCATCCCATGCAATTCTATATTCCTGACAAGTCTCCTCTGAGTGGTCCTACACTGATAGGGATGCAGATCAGCTGTCCTTGCTGTGCCCATGTTCTCCCAGTGGGCCTGTCTCCCCCCTTGCCTGCGCTGCAAACACATCCCATGGGAGGGGCCATGTGCTGGTCCCTTGTGATGACTCACCAGCTTCCAAATGGCTCCTTTTCTTCAGTGATTGTGGCTCCTTGCTCCTACGTGGGTCCATAGGAGCCCTATTAGTGGTCTTGCTGGCCTGGGGGCCACTAAGGCCCTCTTCTTCCCTGCCGTCTCCAAGCAACTCCATCTGAAGGGCATAGCTGCAGCTTTTGCCACCTCCTGCTCTGTGCGCTCAGCAGCTCCAGCCTGGAAATGGCTGGGGTTTGAAATGGTCAAAGTGGTTTTTTCTTTCTCTCATCATTGCTTCTCCTGCCGTCATGCACTCCATAGGTCTCTCTTCCTCTTCCCCTGAGCTCTAGAGGCCCCAGCTTGACTGTTGTTGCTTTTTTATAGTTGTAGATTGGTTGATTTGTGGGAGAGAGTGACTCTGGGGACCATCTATTCTGCCATCTTCACCAGAAGTCTCCATAATTTATTTCTTAAAAGAGGTCAGATTGCCATCCGAACTAATACACTCCTATCTTTCTAGGAACTTTGTAATTCTGTAATCTTAAAATCAAGTAATAAATTGGAGCAAAGGTACACAATGCCATCTTACAGAGGTGGCCTACTGCCAGACAAGCAAGGCTTGGTTCTAACCTAAATGAAATATATTCAGATATCTGGAGAAAGAGTGTGGGTACCAGAAAAGAGTTTGGTCAGCTCTGATTGTGTATCATGAAGTTGCTCTTCAGATTAAAATTTTGCTTCCATGTAGCTTGCTTTAGGGCAGTTGTACTTCATAATCTATATATATATTAAATTAATTTATATAAAATAAAATAAATTAAAATAAATTAAATTAATATATATTAAATTATATATATTTACATATATATTATATAAATTACTATATTTTCATTTGATTATAATTTGTCTCCCTTGTCTCCTAGGAAAGAAAATGTGCCAGCTAGAGAACGTAGATATTCATTCTCCTCAGTTGTATATTCTCACAATAAATTGTGATTCTAGCTTATAAACCATCTCAGTAACGTGGACCCATGTTTGTGCTGATAGCCACATTTGTGAACCTGTAAAACAGAGCTAGACATAACAGTGGAGAATTCACCAAGGTGATAGCATTCCGTGGAGGCAGGTCTGAGTTGCCAACTAGCCTTCTCTAGATGACACCATGTTTTTTTGGCTGCCAAGCAAGCTTTTCCTTGAAACTTCTACAGTGTCAGTGTCCAGTGTCAACAATCAGCTCTCCAAAGTGGTGATATATTAGATTTGAGGAGTAGGGAACTATTGAATATATGCATTAATTTATTCAACTAGTAATATTGCCGGAGAAAAATATTAAAGTTCTTTCAACTCCTTCCAGAAAATGTTATTTTATGTCGCTACTAGAGTATACACAATATTGTTCAAAGACAAGATTTTTCATTAATTATATTTTCCAAACAGATCACAATATAACAGTAAAAACCCAGTTCCATCATTTTTGTTTCATTGGGCTCGTTTCTTTTTTTAATTGTGGTAAAATATACAAATATAAAATTTGCCATTTTAACCATTTTAAGTGTACGTTTTAGTGGCATTCATGTTGTTGTGCGACCATCACCACTGATCATTTCCTAAACATTTTCCTCTTCCCATACGGAAACTCTGTACCCATTAAAAAGTAATTCCCCACTCCCCCTGTTCTATTCACTTCGTGTAAGTGCAGTTACAATATCTGCCCTTTTGTATCTGGCTTATTTCACTAGCATAATATCTTCAAGGTTCATCCATGTTGTAGCACACATCAGAATTTCTTTCCTTTTTGAGGCTGAATAATATTCCATTGTAATCTGCGTTTTGCTTATCTGCTGATCTGTCAGTGGACACTTGGGTGGCGTCTACCTTTTGGCTATTATGATTAATGCTGCAGTGAACATAGGTGTGTAAATATTTGTTTGAGTCACTGTTTTCAGTCCTTTTGGGTATATACCCAGAAATAGAATTGCTGGATCATATGGTTATTATGAGTTTAATTTTTTGAGGAACTGCCAGACTGTTTTCCAGAGTGGCTGCTCCATTTTACATTTCCACCAACAGTGCACAGGGGTTCCAATTCTCCACAACTTCACCAATACTTGTTTTCTGGTTTTTTAAATAATGGTCATCCTAGGGCTGGCTGGTTATCTCAGTTGTTTTAGAGCACAGCCTCATAACACCAAGGTCAAGGGTTCAGATCCCCATACCAGCCAGCTACCAAAAAAAAATTTAATACCAGTCATCCTAATGGGTATAAAATGGTACCACTCTTTCTTGTACATATTATCATTTCCTCTTTTGCAACTGCCACTTTATTCATTTATTTATTTATTTATTTGGTCTTTTTTTGAGACCGGCCGCACCGCGCTCAGCCAGTGAGCTGGTGACCGGCCATCCCCATATAGGATCCGAACCCGCGGCAGGAGCGCTGCTGCGCTCCCAGCGCCGCACTCTTCCGAGTGCGCCACGGTCTCGGCCCCAACTGCCACTTTAAACTTATGGGCCGGCCCGGTGGCACACTGCTACAGTGCGCCGCTTGGGAGCGCGGCGGTGCTCCTGCTGAGGGTTCGGATCCCACATACAGACAGGCCACTCACTGGCTGAGCAAGGTGCGGGCGCAACACCGAGGGTTGCGATCCCATTGCCGGTCCCGGTCCGGTACAGGCACGACACTAAGGGTTGCGATCCGTTGCCGGTCACGAAAAAAGACAAAAAGGAAAAAAATAAATAAATAAATAAAAATAAATAAACTTATGTCAGCAGCCAAGTTCTTCTTCTCTCCCTTCTCTCTGTACCTACACATTTTTTTTTAATAGTCTTTTAAATTTATTTTTTATTAGCATATTCATTGTTACAAATCATACTTACTCTTTATGCCCCTTATCCAATCTCTCCCCTTTTTTCCCCTCCTTTTTCCTCCTTCCTTCCCCTCCTTTCTCTTTCTTCCTTCCCTTCCTCCCCCCGCTCCTCTAATAACCATAGATTTGTTCTCCCATCTGATAGATTAACTGTTCCTCTGTTGGTTTGTTGCCTAGATGACCTGTCCAGTACCAAGACAGGTGTGATCAAGTCCTCCCCTATGATCATAACTCACATGCTTCTTCTTTTACTCTGGAGTGTGCTTTGTGGAGAGAGAGGATTCTTCGTCTTTATTTTATTTTATTATTATTATTTTTTTAAAGATGACTGGTAAGGGGATCTTAACCCTTGACTTGGTGTTGACCGGCCATCCCTATATAGTGATCCAAACCCATGGCCTTGGTGTTATCAGCACCACACTCTCTCAAGTGAGCCATGGGCCGACCCTTATTTTATTTTTTTGGTCTCTACTGGCACCTCTCCTTGTGTCAATGCAGTTGAGAATCTGGCGTGTCATCTGCACGGTGGCTGTGACTGCTGCTATAGAGACTAGCTGCTTTTGCGGCAGCCATGGCAACTGCAGTGGCTGTGGTGGGGTACCTGCATGGAAATGGTGTTTTTGGTGTGCTCTTTACCTGGTTGCGGTTGAGTTCAGCTTCCCCAAGCTCCATGCCTCACGACCCCGGTGGGGCCCCAGGGCAGTTACCCCTTCTTTCTAATGCTCCTAGTTGGGGTGATAACATATCTCTCCCCTGCTGATCCATGTTTCAATCATGGTATCTGTCCATGGCATGTTTAATCAGCTGCCCAGCCCTATCGATCCTTCACAGTAATTCCTTACACCCCTTCACACCTGTATGCAGCCTCTCATTTTTTTTTTTTTTCTTTTTGTTTTTTTTTTTACTGACCGGTAACAGGATCGCAACCCTCAGTGTCGCGCCCGTACCGGGGACCGGCAACGGGATTGCAACCCTCGGTGTTACGCCTGCACCACACTCAGCCAGTGAGCGGGAACTGGTCTCCACATGGGATCCGAACCCTTGGAAGGAGCGCCGCCACACTCCCAAGCGGCGCACTCTCCAGTGCGCCACCAGGCCAGCCCTGCAGCCTCTCATTTTTATCTCATTTTTCCTCAGTGGCTGCACCATTTTATATTCTCACCAGCAGGGCATTTGTTCTTTTACTTGATATAAATAGGAATTAGTTTGTTGATTTAGGGTGTACCTGTTCCATAGTTTGTGTTAAAACCTCTCATTGTTTTCTGTTTTTCCAGGCTGCAGTTCAAAAAGCGATCCCTATGTACAAAATTGCCACCAAAAAAGATGTTGATGTCCAAATTGATCAGGAGTCCTACTTGCCTGAGGAAATGTAAGGAGTATTCCTGCTGCTAACATCTGACTTCTCTCACTGGGAGACTGGCCTTTGTACTAGGCCTTTTTTGAAGTGCATTTTCTGCAATGCTCTGCTAGCTACAAGGATAGAGTTGTGGCTGATTTCCACATGCAGTTCCTGCTGTTCCTCTCTCAGTGCTGTGTTCCCTGTTGTTAACCAGCTAGATATACTCCAAAAGTCAGCTTATGGTCACTCCAGGTATCCTGCAGAGAGGTGGCACTCCTTCTGTACCCAGAACTCAAAGATGGGTCCATATCTCTGCACTGGACCCTGAGGAACATAATCCCTACTTCTAAGTAACTATAAAAAACAAGAATTGTTGCACGCAACTAATAATTAGGTTCCTTGGAGACAGACTTGTGAGGACCAGCAGCGCTTGTGCTAACTGTGCAGAGAAAAATGACATGATGTCTCTGGGGCCAGAACCCCTGATAAACTCTGTGCAACTTGGGTAGGCAGTAGGGCTCCGGACAAGGGTAGAGTGGGCCGTTTTCTCCATCTCACCGTCTATCTGATGCCACCTAGCCACACCACTGACAAACACCGAAGAGTTTCCTTGGGACACATGGAAAAGAGTATTAGACTTAGGACTGTAAGACCTAAATTTGAGTCCTGACTTGTCCATTTGCTAGCTATGGGACTTGAAGACCAAATTCCGTCATCTGTAAAACGGGATTGATGTTTTTGCTTTTTTGTTTAATGAAGTGAGGAAAAGAGAAGAAATAGCATATGTGAAAATGCTTTGTAAGCTAAGGTATATAATCTAGTGAACATTATTGTCAGATTTGGGTTTGAGACTCCCTTCTTCCTCTTACTAGCTTGGTAATCTTGGACTAGTTATTTAATCTCACTATGCCTTGGTTTCCTCATCTCTAAATTGAGTTAATAGCACCTACCTGATAGAATTCTTGTGAAGTTTCAGTGAGAGAATGTCTAGAGAACACTTAATACCATGTCTAGTACATGCTCAGGTTCAGTATAGTTATTCTTCTGTCAAAGAATCATTGTTTTGGAGATTGAGCATACAGTAGGTAAAACATTTATTTCGGGGGCTGTTAAACAATAGGTTTTATTAAAGACTACTGTTCCTTATCTGAAACATTTGGGGCCAGATGTGTTTTGAATTTCAAAGTTTAGAAAAGTAATAAGGTAATAAAGCCTCATGTTAGTAATATCCGCAGAAGGGTCTCTGACATGTCACCCACATAATCAAATGTACGAATGTTTTTAGATGGAATCAGAATATTCAGAAGGATAAATAGTAAAGATTCACTAGTTGTTTGCTGCCAAATGACTAGAGGTCAGTTTAGGTTTAGAGCCATATGAATTAGATGTTTTTGTCATGTTTTCAGAGCTTTTTGAGTTTCAGAATTGCAGATTAGGGGTTGTGGACTTACCGTTCCAGTGCAAATTTAAAGTGGGTTTTAAATATTGTCAGGACAGTTACTCCTTCATTGTTTTCTTCAGTTTCTTTAAGTCTGTTTCCTTATTGGTGAAATAGTGCAGATACTAACACTTACAGGGTCATTGGGAGGATGGATTGAGAAGTCAGGGAAAGCCCTTTGCTTCCTGTGAGGGACGTGCCTGGCACACAGTCATCATTGTCACTTAGTGGTGGTCTTCCTCCTCTCACCCCTTGCCATGCGGACACAGAACTGTATCACAGATGGTTGGTCAGGATTTTCAGCAAAGGACCAACCCTCTAAACAGAATATAGTCTGTTTAGGGCCGGCCCGGTGGCGCACTGGATAAGTGCGCCGCTTGGGAAGCGCGGCGGCGCTCCCGCCTGAGGGTTCGGATCCCACATACAGACCGGTTCCCGCTCACTGGCTGAGCGAGGCGCGGGAGCAACACCGAGGGTTGCGATCCCGTTGCCGGACACGGAAAAAGACAAAAGACAAAAATATATATATATATAGTCTGTTTAGGGCCGGCCGGGTGGCGCACTGGATAAGTGCGCCGCTTGGGAAGCGCGGCGGCGCTCCCGCCTGAGGGTTCGGATCCCACATACAGACCGGTTCCCGCTCACTGGCTGAGCGAGGCGCGGGAGCAACACCGAGGGTTGCGATCCCGTTGCCGGACACGGAAAAAGACAAAAGACAAAAATATATATATATATATATATAGTCTGTTTAGAGAAACCAAAAATAGATGAAACAAACGGGGCTGGGGGAGATGGAGTAAGAAAATAATAATAATAAAGTCATAGTCCATTAAAATTTCCCAAGGAAAATTTGCAAAGCCTTCCCAGCCTTTATCTGATGGCCTGCTTATTTCAAGAAATACTTGATAAAATAGAGTTAAAATGGAGCAAATGAATTTCACTCCCCAAGGTTCCCTATAATAAACTCTGACCTGTTTACCAAGTGCCTCCAAGTGCTGGGAAACTTGAGGAAAGGAGTGACAGAAGTGAGGTGTGCCAAGAGGCAGGACTTGTAGGGTGGGTGCATTTGGTGGAAGGTGGCAGTGATACCTTTTATCTGATACACACGTGATTATGAGTTTTGCTTTATCAGTACCCCCCAGTAATTAGCAGGATTGGGGCTTTAAAAAGCATTTGATGAGCACTCCATCTCATCAGTAGACTATCGCTTTGTAAACTGAGATGAAATCCTGTCCTTTCCATTTTGTTGGAGAGGGCTGGCTGTTAGAATTAAATTAGGTGCTATAACATAATATAAAATTGGCACATAACAGTCACTTGGTAAATGATAGCTGTTATCAACACAAATACCTTAAATCCTTAGAAGCTTTTTGAATTAATTTCAAGCCTATTGCTTATGTGACAACTCCACACAATAAAATGGCTTTCCTCTGAGGGAATAAAGTGAACATATCATGTGTGTTTGTGTTCTTCACATCTGTAAAAATTATCTCCTGTGTTCTTTGTAGAGCTGGTGGAGTTGAGATCTATAATGGGGATCGTAAAATAAAGGTTTCCAACACTCTAGAAAGCCGGCTGGATCTCATAGCCCAGCAGGTGAGTGTGGGGATGCTTGTTAGTTGGTTTGCCGTTGCTTTGAAGGGGTACAGGGAACACGTGTCCATTCAGTGGTATTTGGGATTTGTCATTCTCCACATTTTTTGACATTTTCTTCAAAATAGTGAGGATTACGAATGTAGCTGTATTTACTGAAGTGATACCATTTGCATTAGGGAGGATTTGGAGTCACAACAAAGGCTTTGTTTATCAAGGATTCTAATGTATACATTTTACTACATATAGACATGCTGCAGCAGGAATGATGGGGAATAAAATGAATACTTGTTTAAAGGAATTATCAATAAGGTTGCTGGCTCTTTAGATGTTTACAGATTTGTGCAAATGAACTCTAGGACGCAAACCAGCAAAAATTCCACTTGTTCTAAAATGCTGGGCATCTTCCAGCAGTGGCCCTCTACTGCCATGGCTGCTAACTTGGTTATTCCTGACTTAGAAGCACAGCTTGTGTTTATGCAAGTACTTGTCTTATGGTTAAAGCACTTTGACCTTGAATATCATTTTCTGGTACTTAGATGTTAGGGCTATGTAGACAGTAGCCACATAAGGATATTAAAATAACTAACATTAAATAAAATAAAAAATTCAGCTCCTCAGTCTCACTAGCCATACTTCAAGTGTGCAGTAAGCACATGTGGCTATGGGTCACCATATTGGATGGCACAGCCTTAGAACTTCGAGGTTAAATCCTCCTGAGGATTTATCAGTTGCCATAATGAGTGTTTCAGCACAAACTTGCATTATAAGAATTGTGTGTGGTCACTGCTGACACGTAGTAGATACTCAGTAAATGTTTGAAAGAAAGAATGTAGGGCCGGCCCGGTGGCGCACTGCTACAGTGCGCCGCTTGGGAAGCGCAGCAGCGCTCCCGCCGAGGGTTCGGATCCCACATACAGACCGGCCGCTCACTGGCTGAGCAAGGTGCGGGCGCAGCACCGAGGGTTGCGATCCCGTTGCCGGTCCTGGTCCGATACGGGCGCGACACTGAGGGTTGCGATCCGTTGCCGGTCACAAAAAAAGACAAAAAGGGAAAAAAAAAAAAAAAAGAAAGAATGTAGGTAATCCAGAATATTATAAGACTAATAATGGACTCATTTCTTCTCCCTACATCACAATATAACGGGGGCCTTAGATAGCAACGACTTCAGATTTTTCATTTTTTCTTCTTCCCCTTTGTGAGCAGTCAGTCTTAACCACAAATTTGAGATTTGAGATGAGTTGAGTTTCCCACCAAGGAGTCTGTTGCAGTGCTTCAGTAGGAAGACAGATTTGAGGCACAGTTTTGTGATTTTCTTCCCAGCTACGGAGAGGTTAATGACTTTCTGCCTGTGGTTAAGATGCATGGTTCTTTACAAGTTATTCTATTGACAGTGCTTATTTATTAAATTGTTCCTTCACAGATGATGCCGGAAGTACGGGGAGCCTTGTTTGGTGCAAACACCAACAGGAAGTTTCTGGACTAAGCCTGTGGGAGGTGGAGTTCATCCATTGCTCTACTGCTGTGATGTGGAAGTCTCGGATATTTGCAGGAGCAAGATTGTCTATGTAGCTTCCTCTTTACTGTTCTAATATTCTGTGTTTATCAGGGGATACCCTTCTGTAGCTAATATCCTTGGCCTAATTGTTAACAATGGGAGACAGTCTCACTTAATATGATCAGGAAGCTACCTTTAGTCCATCTAAAAGTAGCACAGCTTCTCTTTGGTTCTGCAGCACAAAGGTGAGGGCATCAGACAGTGGCTGCGTGAACTTCACTGAGTCCTCTGCTCTCTCTCTGGCTCCTAGTTATCTAGTCTAGGGAGTAGTGTGTGTGATGTTCTCTGCCTTGAAGTCTCTGCTCTGTAGATTTGAAATGCATGTGGGGCATGCTTTCCTTCCAGTAGTAGTAGCTTCACTGTTACATATTTGGGCCTAGAAGTTTTCCTTATCTGTAAATGTGATTTAAAATCTAAACCATGAATATGCTTTATTTATTAAAACAAAAGGTTTATGTGGATTTAATTGTGATTTCTTATATAAGGCACTACAAATTTATGGTTTGAGAGAGTAAAGGCCTTACTAAGGTAACTAGAAAAGAAATATTTTCCAAATCCCTATAGTGTTTAATAGTTTACAGCTGTCAGTACAGTACTTGAAACTATTAACCCTCTTGGTGTCCTCTGGGGCTTCTTGCTCTTTTTTACCAGACCATCACCCAGGAGTGTTTTTTTTAGTTTTGGCAGAGTGAGAAAAGAAACTAGGTGGTTTTGGATGGGGGAAGGTGTTACTGTGTGCACAACCTACCTAAATCCTTCCATGGGGGTCCTTCTCTTCCTCCCATGCCCTGCTCTTTTTTATTTTATTCTTTCCCCTGTTCTTTATTTTGTCCTCTGATGGCTCCTAAGAGCGGCCCAAGGTTTTGCGGTGAGTAAGCGGCAGAGCTGGGTGTTAACTGAGGTTTGTCTTGAGAGCCCAGGTTCCAAGGCAGCCTCTTAGTAGAGAGCAAAGCCACCAGGGCCGACCATTTTAGCACCATTCTCGTCCTCATTCACCCATGTTTCAGATTAGGTGAGGACTCATGTAAATCCTAACTCCTAGAACAGTATTCTGTTCTTAGGACTTGACCCCATTTGTGTGACATTATTTCTCTTCTCTGTAGCAGCCTTACAGGGGAAGGAATTGCAGCCCGTGAAGAGAGTTCTATCACAGCAAACTCAGTTCCTGAAGACGATGCAGCTATAAAGTGGTAGTCAAGACTTAAAAACCCAATGTGGGACCAGCCCGGTGGCGCACTGCTACAGTGTGCCGCTTGGGAAGCGTGGTGGCGCTCCCACCGAGGGTTCGGATCCCACATACAGACTGGCCGCTCACTGGCTGAGCAAGGGGCGGGAGCAACACCGAGGGTTGCGATCCCGTTGCCAGTCCCGGTCCGGTACGGGCGCGACACTGAGGGTTGCGATTCGTTGCCGGTCACGAAAAAAGACAAAAAAGGAAAAAAAAAAAAAAAAAAAAAAAACCAATGTGACTTAAAAATAAAGTAGCCCTATGGCCATCCTCCTCTATATGCATAAGTGACAGTTTGAAGAGCTTCAGTGCTCTTTTTAATGTAGCGTGGTTCTGAAGTAGACATAAAAAGGTAGGTGACAGACACTCTTCATTGTAGCCTCTCTGCTACAAGATTTTACCTATTCAACTTTATTTCAAATAGTGTTTTCTGTACATTGGTAGGGATGGGTCTGTGAGAACTATGCTCCAGGAGGATTGGGGCAGGACAGCTGCTCTGTCAATTGGAATCCACCTCATTGCTCAGCCACCCATGATTTGAAATTGTGCTTGGTGTCAAGGTTGGTGCTGATGTTGGGGACTTTCATGGTCTCCTTGAACTTCTGATCCTCCTTTTCCTCAGAGTCAGTGCTAGAACTAATTTAATTAAAGATTAACAAAACTAAATCCTCAAATTGGCTCAAGTATACTGAGTTTGAGTGTGAAATAGAAATGTTAAAATGTAGAAACAACCTTTCTATCTTTATAGGTAAGGTTTTACAGTTAATACAGCCAAAGCAAGTATTATTTTTGCTGTTGAAAAGTTGATAGTTAGGGACTTCTGAAAATCCCTGGTAGCTATACCTCCAAAGGAAACAAATGCAGATATCATGAAGGGAGAATAGGGCTATACTCAGCTTACTTATTACATCAGGGCTGTTACTTCCAAGACTGAGGTAGCACTACCAGTTAGAGGACAGAATACCACACGGGGGCCATCTTGCTCTCACCCCTCTGGTCTGAGTGAAATGGCTAGGGACGGCAGCAAGTAAAGGGACTTGGGCTGCAGCTGTGTCTACTCAAAACACTTTAAGATGCACTCTCCGATACCAATGAAGTAGACCCCTTGGGCAATCCCAAAGAGAGGGGCTATGACAAGGGCCCGGCAGCCTGCTCCTTTCATGAAGGCAGATGGTCCCTCCTGAGTCCAGAGTTTCCTGGGGAGAAAGAAGCACCTGGTGAGCCGACTGCAGGAGCACACGCAGGCACACTCGCAGTGTGCCCTCAGATGTGTGCACCTTTCCTTTGAGAGCAGGCATCACTTTCCACAGCAACAGCAAGACCCCAAAGGTGAGGGGGCCGAGCCTCGTCCATTGTGTGTGTGTAGTCTGCTTATTTAGCAGTCGGGTCAAGGCCCTGGAAGATAAGACTGGTCTCACTAGTATCTTTGGGGAGAAGGGCCGTGGGAGAAGTCCCAGCACATCCTGTTTTCTTTGAGAGGTGAGGAAAGGGACAGATTTCAAAGAAGCCCAGAGCGCAGCAATAAAATTGCTGTCTAGATTTGGGGTAGGCAGACGCCATTGCAGAGGGACCCGTTGCAGCCACCGCCTGAAGAAATGCTGGCCTCACCTGGCACAGTCGCCGATCCCACTGTAGACATCCTCACCCAGACCTTTCTTGAGGGTTTGGATTCGAGTTTTCAGAACTAAATCAAGCAAAAGTTAAAACAAGTAATGAACATCTCCCTTTAGCACAGAGTGGTTGAGCATATGTAGAACTCAACATGAGACCTGTTCTGCCATTATGTGATGTGTAGTGATCTTCCTCTCTGGCCTCTAAAATGAAGGAGTTAGCAATGACATGTCCTTCAGTTACTCATGCTGTAGAAAGTCCACCTGCAGGTTAGAGGAGCTGGAGGCAGCCCTGTAGGCAGGGGAGGCTTTGTCTTCTCATGCTTTATTTAGCTCCTTCCTTTAGCCTCAAGCTGTAAAATGTCAGCACTCATTTGTAGCTGAGGCTCATGACGCTGCCACCAGGGAACAAAAAGCTACCAAAGTTAGCACCTACAAGTGAGGGGATTTGTCAGTGATAAGAAATACAGCAAAGGTCTCTTTAGCCCCACTTTCTCCGTGAGGACTGAGGACCTTTGGTGAGTTTCTGCCAGCAGGCACAGGGTGGTGGACTTAAGAGGGTTTTCAGGGTCGGGACTAAAAGTGCGAAAGTCCTGACTATCCTGGAGACAACTATACAAATGCCTAATTTGCAAAGCAAGTCAAGCCTAGAACCCCAGGTTCACAGCCCGTACATCTCCGACATACGTACCGTCCAGAGGTGTTACTGTGACAGCAGCTATGGAACCTGCAGCACAGCCTGACACGAAGGAATGAGCAAAGGAGGCCTTTCCAGTCAGCTCGTTGAGCCCAAGGTGGTTGAGGTTGGCAAAAAGTGGGAAGTAGATGATGGAGAAAGGAGCATCTCTGCAGAGGAGGGAAAGGAACAGCCCTGCTGCGGCATTGGGCCTTGCACCCTGGCTCAGACCACAAGTCCTGCCCATGAGCACTGGGGCTCATCAGGTGGGCCGGCCATCACCCACAGTGACCACCTGTTTCTACCCTGGCACCCCTGGACAGTGTAGGATGAGAAGAGAAAACATCTGTCTTCCCCTCCCTCCCAGCTCATTATCCAGCCTACCAGCACCTGCAGTCTTTTTTTTTTTTTTTTTTTTTTTTTTTTTTTTTTCTCTTTGACCAGTAAGGGGATCGCAACCCTCGGACTGGTGTCATCCGCACCACGCTCAGCCAGTGAGCGCACCCACCATCCCCATATAGGATCTGAACCTGCGGCCTCTGCGCTAACAGCACCACACTCACCCGAGTGAGCCACAGGGCCGGCCCACCTACAGTCTCTTAATGAGTTGCCAGAAGCAGGTTCAAAGTCTGGTAGCCTGTTCTATGAAGGGGCAGCAGGCTGAGGCAAGATGGGGGCATAGTCACTCGTTCACTTATAAATGTCTGCAGTCCTTTGTCAACAGGGCCACAAAAGAAGGGGCCTAAAACTTCATTTTTACCTGTGCAACCCTGGCCGATCCTGGGTGAAGTAGGAAGCATGGAGATAGTTTGCTAACCTGGGTTTGAGTGTTCTGGGAAGAATACAGAGACGCAATGGGGCGGCAGTGCTGTTGCCTGTATCCCTCTCCCTGTGCACTCAGGCCCCAGGCCCCAGGACTGGCTGTATTTAAGAAGAAAGGCTCACCTGAGGAGAGTGGCCCCCAGGCCCGTATAGAGCCCAGCCAGGCCCTGGGTACGAAGCAGCTCCCGGGCAATGAGGGTGGCAGATGGGTGCTTGTGGGCAGAAACCGAGCCAGTAGTGAAGGACCTGGAGGAGGGGGTTGCTGAGGCCAACCCCTGATGACGGACAGCTGGAAGGGAAAGGACAGACTTGCCAGTGCAACCCAAGCCCCAGCAGGTGCTGCAGAACGCTCTCCCAACAGCGTGGCTTGCAATGTCTGTCCCTGGGACAACCCAAAGGCAATCCTGAAGATTGTCCTGATTTTAGGACATTAATTTTTGGCTCCAAGGAAGTCTCTCTAAGGTCCGTATTATCTAATGATTTCTCTCTGGTGTGTAGGATGTTTCATAAGAGCACAGCCATGGCCTGCCCAGCTTTCTTCGTGAGAAGCTTTACAATACCCCCAAATGTCTTATCCTCCTACTAAACCTGTTTTTGATGTTTTCCATTTCTCAACCACCTCTGAGCCTATTTAGAGAGGTTCATCTTGTTAGCACTTTGGGACATAGGAAGCCCCTATATGTTTTGCCTGATGGCATAAAGCAGCAAATTTTTTTTGTTTGTTGAAAAACTATCTCCTGGGGTCTTCCAGGGTTGCCTCCTCCCTGGAGTGCTCCAAGCCCAGGTGGATGTGATCTCTATGCTCTTTTTATAGAGTGTTTCTTCAGATGGCAGTCCACTTCAGTTGCATAATCCAGAGCCCATCATTTGATGAGTTCATCTAATAATTAGAATGGAATTTTTTTTCCCCTGAGCATATTAACTACAAGCATTTAAAATGTGGGTAGGGGGCTGGCTGGTTGCTCACTTAGTTAGAGCACAGTTTTGTAACACCAAGGTCAAAGGTTTGGATCCCCACATTGGCCAGCTGCCAGTACGTACATATATACATACATACATACATATATACATATATACATACATACATAAAACGTGGGTGAGTCCCACTAATGACCACAGGATTTAATGCTCTGAAATTCTGCGAATATTTTCTTAAATCTCAGTGTTTGAGAAGCTTTGCTGAGATTGTAAATTCTTTTTTTTTTTTTTCCTTTTTGTCTTTTTTCATGACTGGCAACGGATCGCAACCCTCAGTGTCGCGCCCGTACCGGCCCAGGACCGGCAACGGGATCGCAACCCTCGGTGTTGCTCCCGCACCTAGCTCAGCCAGTGAGCGGCCAGTCTGTATGTGGGATCCGAACCCTTGGCGGGAGCGCCGCCACACTCTCAAGCGGCGCACTGTAGCAGTGCGCCACCGGGCCAGCCCTGTAAATTCTTGCTTAAAGGAAAGTACTGCCAATTTCGTGTCCCAATTTTGTTTGGTATCTAGCAGGGCAGTTCTTCATTCTAGGAAGTTAGTTATTGCACATATTTTCTTATGGTAGTAATGTAAGTGCAGGCCTCAAATAATTAACTAGCAGAAGGCTCTCAGCTTCCTTGAAAAAATAAATGCCTTGTGTAACAAATAAAAATAAAATGTTAATTAAAAAAATAAATTTAAAAATAAATAGTTATATAATTATATAAAAGGGCTGTCTGGTTAACTTGGTTAGAGCGCAGTGTTATAACACCAAGGTCAAGTGTTTGGGTCCCCATACAATTTTAAGAAAATATGAACATTATTCTCCCCATTGTCATCTTTAGATGTACATGATACATCCGTATCCTATCTTCTTTTTAATAGGATTTAGTATTTAGGAATACTAAAACTTATTACCGAGGTTGAAAAACTAAACCTTATAGGGCTTTTACTCTTTGCAGATAGAAACATAGTGAGGGCTTTCCAGTGCCTAAACTTTATTCTTCCTGCAGTTTTGGTCCAGTTTAGAACTCTTGTCAAATTCTGGCACAGCACACGTGCACAGTTGATTTGAAGTGGGGAGGGCACCCGCATTTACTGCAGACTGACTGCCCCTTGCAGATCTGTGTGGGGCACATCATGTATTAGCTTACTTATTCAGACACAGGTGTAGCACTAAAGAGAGGCCCCTCTGCCACTGCCCGCGAGGGTGGCCACCTTCCACTGGATGGCCAACCCTTGCGCTTACTCTGTGCATCAGCACCTGCATTTCTGAGAGGCCCAGAATTAAGAAAGGGCCAAACTTCTCTTCTAGGGAAAGCCAAAAGAATAGGAATGGTTTTCTTCCTGCCTCCCTACTAAAGGGCCAGCTTCCATACCATAAAATACTTGCTGACCGAAGTGTAGTGAGCAGGCCATTGACATTTCCAAATGTCAAGGCAACATGACAGAAGTATTAGGTGTGAGTATTCTCTGTCCTTCAATCAAGATTCTCATTTAAAAAAAAAAAAAAAAGATGACTTGTAAGGGGATCTTAACCCTTGACTTGGTGTTGTCAGCACCACGCTCTCCCAAGTGAGCAAACCAGCCATCCCTATACAGGGATCTGAACCTGTGGCCTTGGTGTTATCAGCACCACACTCTCCCAGGTGAGCTACAGGCCAGCTCTAAGATTCTCATTTCTGCTGCTTGTTCCAGAGCTGGAAGTGTTGGAAGAGGTAATTATGAAGTAAAGACCTCTCAACCTAGAAAGCTGACCGGATCTCACAGTCAAGGAAATGGGGGGATGTGGGATGTGATCTATTCTGATCCCATGTGAAGCTGGGATAGGCCTCACCCAAGCGTCCAGCATCCTGCAGCTGAATCTTGAGCATTTCCATAGGACAGGTAACCACCACCTGACACATCCCAGCTCCACAACCGGCTAGCATCTCCATCTTCAGGTTCCGCTGCATTCTGTGGGACCAGGAGTCAGGCTCCGTCAGCTTCAGACCAGCCCTGCCGCCCAGCCCTGGCACATCTACCCTCCCTTGGTAGTTGGGACTTTCCGTGGGTGGTGTTTAGTCCTGTCACCATTGGCTGCCTCTCACCTAGCTGGGTAAATAATCACCTGGCCCTCAGGCTTGTTCTCCTTAAAGACACAAGACTAAATTTAAAACAGGCTGCTAAGAAGGTAGCACCCGCATAGAAGTGGAAACCATCAGCAATGAAACTGCCCATGACGGGTATTTCTTTTTCTTTTTTTTTTTTTTTCCTTTTTGTCTTTTTTCGTGACCGACAATGGATCGCAACCCTCAGTGTCGCGCCCGTACCGGACCGGGACCGGCAACGGGATCAGCAACGGGATCGCAACCCTCGGTGTTGCGCCCGCACCTCGCTCAGCCAGTGAGCTGCTGGTCTGTATGTGGGATCCGAACCCTCGGCGGAAGCGCCGCTGCGCTCCCAAGCGGCGCACTGTAGCAGTGCGCCACCGGGCCGGCCCCCATGATGGGTATTTCATTCTCCCAGACCCCTTAAGTAATATCACTAGGGCAGGGGGAGACAGAACTAGAAAGTGTTTGGGGACTGATGAAAAATGCATCAGCTGTTGATGAATATGTCTGTACATACATTCTATGTGCTCTATATTATCCATCACTTTCAAGTCACACCAGCTCCTCTCCCTTCACGTTCCATCTGCCAGGACACATGCCCACCCTCAGCATATGTGTGCACTGTTTTATACACGTGCCGACAGGTAAACAGGTGTATGTGCAATCATCTCCCTGCTGCCTCTCCCAAAAGACAAAGACACACAGTGAAAGACCTATGTCCCTGCCCCCACCCAGCCATACCCATCTTCCATGAGCAGCTGCCGGAAGAAGTCGTTGGCTGCCAGCTTGATGGCCTTCTCCGGAGTGACCAAGGTAAGGTTTACTGCAGCCCCTGGAGGTGGGAAACCAAGGTGAAGAGTGAAGGCCACCCCAGAAGTAACAATCCCGAGTCTGCCACTCATGCAGACAACACACTCTCAGCCCTAGGCAGTTCAAGCAGGGCTCCCTGGTCTGCTTCATTGAAACAATTTTTTTTTTACTGTGTTTGTTTCCTTTATGAACTCTCTAGTCCAGTCATCAGGAAGTCGTTTTACTTTTGTCCTTGCTGGTGCTGTCACCTCCACCATAAAGGAGTGGCTCCCAGTCCTAAGCCCATGGGGACAGGGATCGGGTTTCAATTACTCTGCTACACTGTGGTTCTAGAGGTTTTTATTCTATCTTTGGACCCATTTTCTTAGGCATAATCAGGGATGGGGACACTGTGGGGACAGCAGCAGTCCCCATACTCCTTTCCAGGAGCTCAAACCCTTTCTGTTCTCTGTCTCTCTCAGCCTCTCGCCCTTCTGCTCTCAGGAGCCAGGTGCGCAGCCCTGGAGAGAGGGTCTTAACCTCACACAGAAAGGCAGTGAGGGGCTGGGATGGAATCAGCTCCTGGGGCTCCACAGTGCTCACTGGTGCCTCCCGAAGCCTTGCCAGGAAGCATTGCTACTGCCACCTCCACCAGAAACAGGAGGCTCGTGAAAGTAAATGTGGTCCAGGATCGCTTGTAGCCCAGCCCATCCCAGCAGCTCCCCAGGCAGAAGGAACAGCGATTCCCAGTGTTCTCACAAGAAGCTCACAACACCTTACACCTCTGCACCAGCCCCCATTGTCTTCACGTCGCCCAGGCCAGGCCTCCCCGGGGATGCCTGATAAGCCCACCTCGGTACATGCCCAAGAAGCCCTCTGCCCGCGCCGTCTTCATCAGGCAGTCTATCCTAGAAGCAGAGGCCAGCAAAGGAGGTCAGTGGTGAGCAGGAGGCTGCTCCATCAGCCCCTCCTGCTTCCGTGCCCCAATCTTGCTGGGTACATCCCAGGTGGCCACCACCTCCAAAGTTCCCCCACCCTTGTGCACACACTCTGTAAATACACTTTGGAAGGGATGGGGCCCCACGTCCCACATCTGGGAGTCCCCCTCTCCCTGCCCACACCGCTCCCCACCGACACCTACATCCCTCTGTACATATCTTTTCCATGCTGGTTCTGCAGCCGAGTCTTGGCCAAGTCAATGGGGAACACACAGGTCACCCCGACGAGCCCCGCCACACCTCCATTGATGAGCTTCGCTGTGATGCTGGGTCACGGGGAGGAGAGAGGCTGAGTGAGGCCGATGCTGCTGCACACAACCAGGGCTGGGGCCCAGCAGAGGGTGGGTGGGGACACACTCCTCCACGTCCACACACCCCTGTCCTCTGCCTCCTCCCTCCCTTGGGCTCCAGTCAGAGAGACAGGCTGGGTGGGACTGTGGCGTGGAGCTGGGGGCCTGGCCCCTCCTGCAGGACAGCGGTTCTCACCAGGGCTGCAGCATCTCTGCCAAGCCCATGCGCCGCCTGCATGAAGCGGGGAAGCTGGGGCCCCACCAGGGCGCAGGAAGTCCCTGTGCCTCAGAGCTGCCACCAAAGTCTTTTTTGTCCTTAGTGCCATGTGTGGAAAAGCTCTCAAACAAAATGCAATTTACTTCAGGCTCAAGGTCAGGCAGAAGCAAGTCTGAATCCTGTTTACGTGAGCAACTCCCCTCACTTCTCTGGGTCTCTATTCTCCCTGTGTCCAACTCGCCTCTCGGGTGTGTGAGGATTCTTTTCTTTTTTTATTAGCATATTTTTCTTTTTTTTTTGTCTTTTTCCGTGTCCGGCAAGGGATCGCAACCCTCAGTGTCGCCCCCGTACCGGACCGGGACCAGCAACGGGATCGCAACCCTCGGTGTTGCTCCCGCGCCTCGCTCAGCCAGTGAGCGGGAACCGGTCTGCATGCGGGATCCGAGCCCTCGGCGGGAGCGCCGCTGCACTTCCCAAGCGGCGCACTATCCAGTGCGCCACCGGGCCGGCCCCATTAGCATATTTTTCATTACAGATCGTGATTATTCTTTATGCCCCTTACCCAACCACTACTCCCAATCCCCCCTCCCTACCCCATCTCTATTATCCTTAGGTTTGTTCTCCCCTTCTGAAAGTTCAACGTATTGTTGTGTTTCCTTTCCTTTCCCCTTTCCTTTCTGCTTTCCTCTTCCCTCTTCCCTCTTTCGTTTCATTTCCTTCCTTCCCTCCGCACACGAATGCACTTGGTAAATGATGGCTATTGTTGATAATGAGAGAACACACATTTCTGACAACAAGGGCTTCTAATCAGCAGGAGATAACCAGGGTTAAAGTATCTAATTCTAGCCAAAAGTAAAGTCATACTTTAGATAACTTGGGGTCCCTCATCCTGGGTACGTATAGGAGAAATAGAAAATAAGGCTGTTTCAGACTCCTTGAAACCTAGTAAAATTTTCTCATCTTTCAGACGAGGCAGACTATGAGCAAAATATTTGGAGATAGATAACCTGAAAGTGGTAAGAATGGATAATACTAGGTTTTCTCACAAATGGACTTTGATAAGCAAGCAAGAAATTTGTGACAACAAATTAAATTGTGACTTAAATTTTGTGATTTGAAAAGATGCATCCAAACAATTGCAAATTATATTTAACAATATTGTATGTATATATTTGATTGTATGTGTCTAAACACATTTCCCCAAATATAAAATATATATTTCCCCAAATACAGCTGAGTGGCATGCAGCTGTGACCAGCAACTCTTCCCCCAAACCGGGCCCAGAGGCACCAGGCTGTCCCAGCCAGAGCTTACCTGAGATCCTGGCTGGACATTCTGCAGGGGGCTGAGTCCTGCCGATGGGTCCCTGGACACAAGGCAGTTGTGTTCGGGGCAGTTGCTGTCTGGGCTGCCCGAGGGGGAGGAGTGGTGCCGTGTTCTTGAGGAGAGCCCCGTGGCAGAGCGCCCGAGCCAGTCACAGCCACCTGCGCTGAAGTTTCCTCCTCTAGAAAAGTGGCATGAAGAACCATGTATGTGAGGGGATGAAACACTGCAACGTATTAATGCTGCTGGTTGCTCTGTTTTCTCCCCTTCCTAGGCCTTTTGGGATTCAGATCACAATCCTTGACCTTTTGGACTTCGGAAAGAGGGATGAGAGAGAAGGATAAGGGGCCCAAACGAAGGCTCCAGCAGAGCCGTCGTGGGCATTCTGCACAGGTGCGGGCGCAGGGAGGAAGCCCGCGGGCCGCGAGGGAGGGATTCTAAGGAGAGTTGCTGAGGACTGGAATCCCTCTCATGATACTTGACATGTTCTAAAGTAACTTTTTGCCCTGTGTTTTCTGAACTTCATATGACCCTGTTGAGACCAAGCTGCATTAGGTCTCTGGATTTATGGGAAACAGCAGGGACAGTGCTCAGGAAGTGGAAGCTACAACAACTCTCAGTTTCTGAGGGTCTTGCTCTTCCCCAGCGGGGCAGCATCAGGAGGAGCTCTCCAGAAGCTCAGGCTCCTGGCAAGCGGCTTCGGGGTCCTCTCTCCTGTGCTCCTCGCTATTCCCTGAGGCTGCCAACAAGTCTGTGTGTTTTCCAGATATTTTGTTTGGGGTAAGAAAAGAGAGCAAGAGAAAGAAAGAGAGAGAGATCAGTCTTTCTCTTGGAAGTGTATTAATGTATTCCAGAAAAAATTGTGGGGGCTGGCCGGTGGGCTCAGTTGGTTAGGGCGCAGTGTTATAACACCCAGTTCCAGAGTTCGGATCTGCACACATGCTGCCCCCCAGCAAAGAGAGAGACAGATGGTAAATGAGGTAAATCCTTAGAGTATCAGAGAGTGATAAATGCTATGGAGAAAAAAATTCAGAATGAAAGGGGGAGAGGAAATGTTAGTAGGTCTTGGCTAAGATAGGATTCCTTGAGAAGATGGATCAAGGATCCCAACAACATGAGGGGGTGAGCCAGGCATGCCTCGGGGGGGAGAGCCTTTGAGGCAGAGCAAGTGCAAATGCTCGGGGAGCAAAGCGTGACTGCACGGTGGCCATGAAGAGGGAACGGGGCAAGCAGTGGGAGACAAAGTCGTGGAGACGACGGGGTGGGCACCTGCCCACGGAAGGCAGAGGAAGACCTCAGCTTTCATTCTGAATAAAAAGACTCAAAGCAACAGTTCTGAGTATTGGAGAGAGCAGGACTGAAGCCACGTTGGGACCTAAAGCTGCCTGGGCTGCAGAGGGGGGAGGATTTTTAAAAGGACAGTTTTTCGCTCCACTCTTGCTTCCCATCCCCTGACTTTCTTATCTCACTTGCTAAGTAGGAAAACAAGGCCGAGAAGCTAATTAGTACTTTGCAAAGGTAACAATTCTTTCTTTGAGACTTGTAGAGTTTTGAGAAATGATCAAGGCCAAATGACTGAAGCTGACCTTGGGCACCAGCCAAGTACACAGTGCAAATCAAAATCTTGCAGGGTCCTGAGATAACAGCGAAGGTGAGAACAGAAACCAGATGAGGCCTTGGCAGGACCTTGTACCTGACTCACGGACACGGACCCCTCCTAACTCACGTCTCCTGCTCTCCTGCTTTTCACCTCCCACATTCCATTCCCTCAACCCTTCCTTTAAAAACCCCTCAGTAAATGTAAATCTTTGAGATGGGGTAGCCTACCACCTCCTTCAAGTGAATACGTCTGCTTTTCTAATACCAACCATTTGACTTCTGAGGTTTTTTTTCTTTCCTTTTTTTTTTTTTTTCGTGTCCGGCAACGGATCGCAACCCTCAGTGTCGCGCCCATACTGGACCGGGACCGGCAACGGGATCGCAACCCTCGGTGTTGCGCCCGCACCTCGCTCAGCCAGTGAGCGGGAACCAGTCTGTATGTGGGATCCGAACCCTCGGTGGGAGCGCCGCCACGCTTCCCAAGCAGCGCACTATCCAGTGCGCCACCGGGCCGGCCCTCTTTCCTTTCTTTTCAAAGGGGCGGGCAGCGGACCCGAGTCTGGTAACATGAGCAGAGGAGTGACGTGCTCTTGACAGGCCCGTTTTGGCTGCCATGTTGAGAGTAGACAGCAGAGGGTGAGAGATGAAAGGGGAAGACCATTCCTTACTGTGGAATCTGGGCATCGGGGGAGGGGCTGCCTGTCCCAGGAGCAGGGAAGAGAAGCAGCAAGGCTGCGGGCATAAGGCAGGGTGGACAGGGCTTCCTGATGGGCCAGATGTGAGAGAGGAGAGGACACTGACAGGGACACTGCAGTTCTCGGTCTGAGAACCTGGGAGAGTAGGCTCATAGCATGGCATTTGGACCTATAACATGTAAGCCTTGGATCTGTTCGCAAATGGGAGGCTGATCTGCAGAGACAGACACAGAGAAGTGGAGCAAGCATATCTGGAGCGGACACAAAAGATGGCACTTTCCTGGCGTTGTTTAAATCCCGGCTTCCACTTCCTGCCTGAACACCAGCTGCATTCCTGTCCTTGGATTCAGTGAGACACCAACCGTCCTGCTGGCAAGTTGACCTTCTTGCTTAACTTGCTAGAATTGGTTTCTGATGCTTCTAATTGACAGAATCTTATCCCTGAAGTTAGTGATGGGAGTGAGGATTTGCAAACTACAGACCCCAAAGTAGTGCGCAGGTGTGAAGAGCCCCCGGGCTGGGGAGCTGGTGGCTTGGTGCTGCCCGTCATCTCCTGCAGCAATGTGCCCTATAAAAGCCGGAGCTTCAGGGGAATTGGTGGAAAAATGTCAAGAAATTAAAGTGGGTTGGCTGTTCTTTGAGACACTCAATAAATTGTTATGAGAGAAAAACACACTCCAATTCCAGGAAGCTGCCTTAAAAATTCGGGGCTGGCTGGTTAGCCGCAAAAAAAAAAAAAAAAAAAAAAAAAAGATAGAAAACAATGCTTTCTGTCTGAAGCCAAAGAGTCAAATAATTGAGACCCCTGTGGCTGCCTTTGTGGCCACAGTCCCTGATGTTTCTGGAGCTAAATTACTATTTTAGAAATTGTGCTTCCCTGGCTATTGGAATAGGAGTATTTAAGAGAAGCCAGAGAAATTAGGGACACTCCAATCCCCGGGTTCTCCACAGCACCTCCACTAGACAGACGTGACAGCATCTCCAACCATAAAGAGCATGTGTCTAGTGGGACGTGTACATTTCAGGGTTAAAGAACGACAGGACCCGAGCTGACAGTTCACCGGAGAAGTTCCGCTTTATTTGAGGGTGAAGCATACATTTATAGAGAGCTGAGTTCCGGGAGAGGGTGGTTAGTACGCGGGGCGGTGGCTGATTGGTCGGAAGGGCGGGTGATGATTTTGATAGGCCATACTTTGGCGCCGGCAGGAATGTTAGGACCCGGAAGAGAAGCCGGAAAGGCGCCATGTTTTAGGGAATGTCTCCTTTGGGGTTTTATGGGGCCCTACACAGGGCACCCAGCCTTGCCACCCTGAGACTTCCCCACCTCTGTAAATCCCAACCCTGGAAGTTCCCTTCAGCAGTCTTAGGTATTCAGAGACTTCTGGCACCGGTAAATGTATAAGTACACAGAGTCAACAAAAAGGAAAGTGGTAGCCAGCCATGGCTTTTTTTTTTTTTTTTTTTTTTTAAAAGATGACTGGTAAGGGGATCTTAACCCTTAACTTGGTGGTGTCAGCACCGCACTCAGCCAGTGAGCGAACCAACCATCCCTATATGGGATCCGAACCCGGGGCCTTGGTGTTATCAGCACCACACTCTCCCGAGTGAGCCACGGGCCGGCCCAGCAGCCATGGCTTTAAAGGAGTTGTATCACCATGAAATTCCCAAATTTGGCAAAAGGCCCGTAAGTGTTCAGTCTCTAGGGCAGTCTACAGGCCCAGGTATGAATCATTCAAGAAATACTTGTGAGTGCCCACTCGGAGCCAGTCGCAATTTTTGGCAGCAGGGATACAGCTGAGGACAAAAACAAGTTCCCTGCCTTCACAGAATGTCAATTTGACTGGCTCCAGCCCCGACAGGAGTAGTCTTCTAAGGGGGTACAGTCCCCTCGGTGTTCTCAGCACAGGCCCTGAAAGACTCTGGGCAAGGGAGAGTCCCCTAGCAAACAGACCCCGAGGCAGCCACCCTGCTTGACCGGGAGCTCATGACACTGCAGGAGAATTTGGTGAACAAGCGGCCACTCACTGGACCTTCTGGTCCTGTCACTCAAGGTGTGCTCAATGCGTTAGAGTGTGGCCAATAAATACTATTTCCCTCACCTTCTTTTCCAAACAGAATTTAGGAGAAACAGTATATCAGGTAGTAAAACTAATCATTTCAACACTGGGACGCAAATTATGAGGAGCCAAATGTGGAGCTCTGGAAAAATGGAAAAGGACTGAAAGAAAAAAAAAAAAGGCCTAGAAAACAGGCTCCAAGTCATGACCTCAGAATGTGGTATCTGATCATGACACTGGTTATTTCACTTGGGAAGACAAGTGCATTCACAATTTTACATGTGATGATCGAATCATATCAGGAGGAAGAAATTTGGATGCGCAGGGAATAGTATATGTTTGCGTGTTCTTGGGCATTAAAAGGAAGAATGTAGCAGAGAACTATCTTTTTTTTTTTGGTGGCTGGTATGAGGATCTGGACCCTTAACCTCGGTGTCATCACACCGCATCCTGACCAAGTGAGCAAGTGGCCAGCCCTGGACACCAGTTGTTCCATCTCTCCGTGATCCCGTTCCCAGGAACGGCCCTCTCTCCCGCACCACTCCCTCGGCTGCAGTGGGAACCCCCATGCTCCTGAAACGCATGCTCCCCACTGTTGTGGACTGTGCAGGGACGGGTGCCTGACTTGAGCTGGGCTGCCCGGCCCCTTCTGTAGCAGTTTGAGAGAGAGCAGAAAGCCTCTTCCAAGAGATTTAGCTGCGAGAGAGCTTTCTGAAGAAGAGAAGGGTCAAGACGTGGCGACTGGCCAGGGCTGAAGGACAGGGAAGAACCTTGGAACTGTGTCAGGTCTGAAGCCCGATGGACTGTGCATGAGGAAGGCAAGCTAGGGG